CCCACCTATGATCTGTTTCTTGTGAAGAAGAAATTAAGGAACTATTCAAAGCATTACCTGTTATTAGAGATTCTATTCAAAGTTAATTTGTTATACATATATTTGTTTACAAAACGGATGACTAAATAAAAAAGGATCAATGATCCATGCATGCAGGCCTTTTCTTTATTTTTTTAAAGGTGTGGCATAAACCCACAGTTTTTCATTTAAAAAGATAGTTTTACAAGCATTTAATGACTCGTTTTGGATTTCATGGGATTTAAATGTATCACAGATAATTGTACATTAGTAAAAGCATGGTTTAAGTCTTCCATGCAGTACGGCTTTACTTAATTTAAACAGAATCTGTTAAAAAGTCACCCAAGTAATAATGCCATGTCCATAATAAGATATTATCCTGCAAGATTTTTTTTTACCTTCTGCTCGACACATTGAATACACAAAGCGTTAATGTCTATATGCCTGGTATACTTCCCCCCTCGAGCAATATTTACCATGTACGAGTTGTGACAAAGAATTAATTCTGTATTCAGTCGGATGATATGCTTATCATGGGGACTACTATTTAACACTGTTTTTCTTTTGTTATAAGTTTAATTAAATACCCGTTGGGTCTAAATGTTTTATTTTTCATAGACTCTGTTTTGTTATATTTACATTTTTTTTTATACTGGGTATTAAAACAAAACAAAGCAAAAATGAAATGACCCAAAAATACTCAAGAAATAAATGGAGAAAAGAAAAATAATGTAATACTCCAAAAATAAATGGAGAAAAAAAAAATATTAAATGTCTTTTTGAATAAGAAAATGTGAAGAAATTGGTATTACAAGAAAATCTGGGATTGTTCATTGTAAACTGTTAATAATGAATACAAAGGAAAGAATAGATGTATGCCTCCACCCCTGCAGAAGTCTTGCACATTTTTTAATCATGTTTATTCAAGGAGAAGGATGACATTTGTAACGCCCACATAAAAGAAGTTTCATGAAAGATGAAAATCCTGATTTTGATTGTCCCCAATGTTAGCCATGCTGTGGTCATTAAACAGGGTTGGGTCAAGCAGTTAATGACATGTGGGTACTGTGTGCAGTTATTACATCTCCACTACACTATATTAACATATCATTGTGGGGCTCCGGATTGTATGCACGTTTATATGGAAATGGCAAAATAATGGACAATAAATCCCATAAAAGTCAGTCAACAAAAACTAACAAAACCTTGGTGACCATTCAGCCAGAATAGAGAAATTACAATCTTTTGTCATGAGTTGTATAGAGTTTTCCCCCTCTTTGTGAGTATTTTAGTTGGTCAAGACATTCCGGATGCTAGTGGGGAAACAGAGATAAGTTTGTAAGTACCAGAGGAAGTACTCCTATATACTATACACCACGTGTAGCTTCCTCTCGACCAAGTCACATGAGAAGTTTGCTGATCAGAGGGCCCCAGAGAGAGCTTTCTCAGAAAAAAGTCTTGCTCTTCATGTCACGACTATCAGAATGAACAAATTATCATTATTATAAACTCAAGAATAATCTAATACTCCTTAAAAAAAGATTGCAAAATTTCACCCCAGTTTATTCATCATATATGTCTTAAATTGCCCTTTCATTTCTTGGTATAAATTAAATGTTACGACCTGATGAACAGATTTTAGTTGATGTCATACCAGAGACACAGCCCTTTCAGTATATGGTAGATTATTCACTAATTAATCAAGTCTTGTCAACAAGGGAGAAATTTTGACAACAGTGTCTAGCAAATAAATCACCAATATTATACAGATAGAAAACAATGTTAAATAAAAAACCTTCCACACAAATATGTTTTTGTGACTGATTTACAGACAATTTATAAGTTAAATAGGCAGACTGTTTCAGATGCTTTTGCAACTAATATATTAAAAAAAATATAGAAGTAAATGTCATATGGGCTTGTCTAATTAACACATTATTTCATAATACAGGTATTACATATTGCTTAGCTTAAATAGAGAGAAAAACAACCCAGAGATTTTTTCCCCTTACCTTCCCTGGCTCTCTCTCAAAATCTACATATTCTCTTGTGGGTATCCTATCTTCATCTTTGTCTGACCAAGCATTAGATTCAAAGTTTAATTGTAAATTTGTACCGGTGGCTACAAAGGCCTACAAAAATTAAAATTAAAAAGATAAAACAAGAAATATTTTACTATGGAAAGTGAAAGCATTAAACCCATTAAAAAGTTGAGACCGTATGTTGTACTTGATTCATACATGTATATGGAAAAACCTTGTAAATTTTCGCATTTTGTGGAGACAATTAAAATGTAGTAATTTTAAATATATGAATATCTATCATCAGTTTTTGTTTCCGATTTGTTCTTTTTAATCAACATCAAACAGTACACATAATGATTAAAATACACAGCACACACGTGCCGTGTTCAAGAGGTGATTTAAATAGTAACTTACTATATCGGCGTGTCCCTCCCTACATTCTGTTTGAAATCTTAATTGTCTCTCCTCTAAAGGCCTGTCTCTAAATCCAGTGTATTTCACCTGAAATCATAAAACAAAATCCCATCTGAAACCCTTTTTTTCGAAGATTTTGGGAGGTAAAGAAATCCGTGATGAACGGTATGTAATAAATCACTCCGCCATCTAACTTCACAAACTTCCGTAAAAGAATGTGACCTGGTAATAAACTTCAAATAAACTTTACCTCACATTCTCTACTAAGTCTTCGAAATAGTTCATCATTATCAAAAGTTGATCTTTGATCAGGCACAACTCTTGGCATTTTTCTTTGAGATATAATTCCGACTTCACAAGACAGCGTGTTTGTAAGTACTGACAGCATGCTTTCTGAGTCAACTTCATTCATGCTAAACACAACAATACTACACATTACACGAGCGTATCCGATCGCTGTTGATTGGCCAATTCGTTCGTTTTCGTGAAATTTCCGAGTGACGAGAAATACCGACAATGACCATATATGGTAATTTCCGACTATTCATTTCCGTAGAATTTGCTACGTAAGCGGATATTTATTATTATGCAAATAACTTTCTCAATATTTGATGACAGCTCCCATATAAGGCTAATAGGCGGGGCAAATGATATGAATAATGCAATAGTCCCTCCATATACGGTCTTGTATGACCTACATTCGCTTACTACGAGGTCAAACGTATTAAATATTCAGATTGTTTTTCTCACGCTACAAAGTGATGTTTTTCGAGCAAATCTCAACTCTCTTGCAAAATTAGAAATTGTTTACTTGTTTTTCTGAAAAGAATTCGATGAATAGATGTGGGTTAAAATTTTTGACTCTCTTGGGTTACTCGAACAAACAAATTTTCAATATTTTAAACTGACTTCTCGCCTACAGTAGTAACCCTCTTGTAATCGTAGGGATTGAAAGCATGAAATCTAATTAAACTGTTTGTTGAACTGAGAGAAAAAAAGTTTCAGCGTTATCAATCATTACTGGAAATGAATATTATCAATTATACTTGGTACGTAATTATGAAAGATTTAACCTAGAAAGCACACGTTCAAATTAAAGTTAGTTTCAATAGTGAAGAAAACTATATAAGTTCTAGATAATTCTATTGTATCACAAGCAGCAAACTCTTAATTCCAAATTATAGTATACAGAACTTTACAAAAAGAGCATAGTGAAGAAAACTATATAAGTTCTAGATAATTCTATTGTATCACAAGCAGCAAACTCTTAATTCCAAATTATAGTATACAGAACTTTACAAAAAGAGCACAATCTATTCATTGAATTTATTTTGGTGTTTAATAGAAACAGCATTGCAAATTTAGAGAAATTTTGATAAAAGATGTGCTATCCTCCTACAGAAATGAACGGAAGAAAAAAATTAATCAGTTTCCTTAGAAAACATTCAATAAACACGGAGGAGGGTCTTTAAGAGCAAATTGAACTACAATTGTCATTTTATTTTTTAAAATTAATTAATTTTTATTTTAAGCAAGACTTTTGCCCAATCTTTTTTTCAGATGTTCATAAATACGGGTTGGTTATGACCTATGTTAATTCCTTTTAACACTTTTTTGGCTAGTCCGAAATATCTGACGTTTTCCAGGCTTTTTTCGCCATTTTGTTATTTTACGTGCCAGGAAAACTTTCCTGGGGCCCGTTTTACAAAAGAACTTACGACTAAGACCAAAATTTAATTCTGCTAATAACTTTCTAATTTACATTAAATAGAAAATGGTTTTAATATTTTTAAAAGGTATGTAGAAAGATACTTTTACGCTAGCAATTGTGAAAAGAATCATTAATTTTGCAATTTTTTTTTACAAACAAGTGAAGTTTTGGTCTTAGTCATAAGTTCTTTTGTAAAACGGGCCCCTGGCACGTAAAATATCAAAATCGTGAAAAGGTCTGGAAAACGTCAGATATTTCGGACTATTTTTTGGTCGCATGAAATAGAAATGCATATCTATAATTCAAAGCAAACTGATGTCAGCGAATTATTGGAGGGATGGGTACATGGTTTGGTTTGGGTGTGATAATTTAATTCAAATCTGTTGATTTTGCTATATATACCCTGTTATAATCATTCTTATGTTTCCTTACATATTAAAAAGATGCTTTTCCATAAAAAGGTTTTTATAATATATGTCATTTCATCGCAATTTATCTCACTATTTTTAAAAGAAAAATTAAATAAAAACTAAAGGTACTATATTCCCATATCATATGTGTATAATGACAAATTCCATTTTTTGCTACTTGAGAAGGCCCAAATAGAGAGGAGGCGCATAAATCACTATGTATAATAAAGATTCTGTTAAAGTATCATTATATTTAATTCAGTGGTATAGGAGGGAGATGTGGATAAGAAATGGAGACCCTAAATCGTAACGGACGGACAGATGGATGTACGACCCCATCACTATACACCCCGCTTTTCAAACTTTGGATCCGCCAATAACAAGTGCGCAGGAACTTCAAAAATACGCATGCGTAAACGATTCAAAACAAAAATGGCGAATTATTAGACGACGACAACACAGAAAAACATAATATGTCTTTGCAATAGAGTCTTAAGTTCAATAGAAAGTTTGTGTAAGATTTTATATTAAATAGATTTGATATGATGCTTGATCTTGAGGTTGTTCCCGAGAGATCACTTGGAAACGAACAATGGGAGTTTGTTTTGGGTGAGCCAGCCAGTTCTTGATTTTTGCACTAGATACTTTGCGATATTTTATATATAATGACGATTGTCAGTCTGTTGAATCTATTTTGTTAGAAATTTAAACAACACTAAATACAGGTTTTTAAAACAATTTCAATTACAAAAATTGGTGCAATAATACATAAGGTGAAGGTCGAATTGAAACAGCTGATCATTGTAAACAAACACGTTACCTGTTAACGTTATCTAACTTGAAAGTTGAAACATAAATTCTATTGTGCGAGAATTTCTCATTTCAAATGTAATGAATACATACACAAAAATGAAACTTACTTAATCTTTCATATTCTTGAAAATTTGTGATGTATTATAATTTAGATTAGACTAAGACTGGGGAATAGTTTCAAGGAACGCAGGTTCAACCAATGGAGAATAGAGATATGATAGCAAGGTTTTTAAAACCAAATTATCTGCAATAAACATCAAATATTAGACAAGGGCTTATTCTCTATTGAGAAGTTGATGGCTCGTTTTAATACTCCCCCTCAACTTCTGTACGAAAGGCCTAATAAAAGCAGTTCAGAAATCGACTAAATGAAGAAACAAAACCGGACCCCACTTCGATCCATGTTTTAGGTCTGATGCGATATCATAGACGTAGTCTGGATACACAGATGTTATTTTGCCATAGAAATGCGAATAAAATACCAATTCCACTGACTTAAAACACGTTTTTAATGATAGAACACTTACTTGCAATATCTGTGTCGCCGGATTCGTTTATTCATTCAAAACTGCGTTTGAACCCGGGTTGACCTCTAAAAAAGTCTAAAACTATTCCTCTGGATAACTATTTAACACTGGAACATTTAATCCAATTTATCCGGAAAAAAAGCTTTAGACTTTCTTAGTGGTCAACTGGGTACAAACGCAGTTTTGAATGAATAAATGAATCTGGTGACACAGATATCGCAAGTAAGTGTTCTACCGTGATGAATGTTTTTTAAGTCAGCAGAATTGGTTTTTTAAATCACATTTCCATTACAAAACAACATCTGTGCATCCCAAATATGTGTATGATAATGTATCAATCCTAAAACATCGATCGAAGTGGGGCCCGGTTTGGTTCTTCATGTAGTCAATTTCTGAACTGCTTTTATTAGGCCTTTTGTAGAGAAGTTGAGGGGGAGTATTAAAAGAAGCCATCAACTTCTCAATAGAGAATAGACGAGGGCTATGCAGAGTCTGAAACTTGCACTGGTAGAGGTGATTATGAATCAACGGCCAAGAAATTTGATTTATAAACTGTTGATAATTTTACCTGAAAATAAGCATTGAACAAGCCTGTCTTTAGCTCATCTGAACCAAAGGCTGATGTATTAAGCTTTTCTGTTCAAAATCTGTCTGTTGTCTGTTGTAGTTGGTGTCATGGTCATGTAAACTTTTCAAATTTTGCACTTGTCATCAAGAACCACTTTGCTAATTTTAACCAAACTTGCCACAAAGCATCTGGGAGAAGGGAATTCAAGTTTGTTTGGCTGGAATGGAAATGCTGTCTCCCAAGGGAAGATAATTTAGAATAATGAAAACCTTTACTGACATTTTTGCTCACCTGAGGTAAAGACTCAAGCTTTTCTGATAACTTTTTGTCTGGCATCCGTCTGTCTGTAAACTTTTCACATTTTCAACTTCTTCTTTAGAACCACTGGGTCAATTTCAACCAAACTTGCCATAAACTATCCATGGGTAAAGGGGGTTCAAGTTTTTTAAATGAAGGGCCACAACTTCTTTCTAGGGGAAATAATTACAAATTAGTGAAAAATTAATGGAATCTTTTAAAAATGTTCTTTTCAAGTACCACCGGGCCAGAAAATATAAAACATGTACAAACATCCTCAGGTGGTGCATCTTCGCTAGCCAAGGGTTTCTGATACGCTACTCTCCTCATAAGCCCTTGGCATACGGTGTTAAAAAAAGTTGGGATTTTTTTCTCAAGTTGTGATTGGAGTTGATCGACATCGTTCGACCAATCAGCAATTGTTTTTTGTAAATGACGATATTTGCGTTCGGGATATATCTTGACTCTTTAATATCGTTAATGTAAAATGCAAGTAAACAATGATCCGTAAGATAACATGCCATTCTATGAATAGCTATATGGTGTCATCCAATATCTAAAGCTACGTGCAAAATATGTGATTAAGAATCTATACTGAAGATGTAGATTTGCATTTTTACATGTTTAAATAACAAATTAACATAACTTGATACCTTCTTGTTAATTATTCTTTAAAAACAAAATTTTTTTAAATACGCTTTTTATTTCTGTCGATGACGCAATCTGTGCGTACCTGGTGAGAATCATGATCACGTGATAAAAACAATCCCGTCTTTTGTCGGCACCGTATGCCAAGGGTTTATGAGGAGAGTAGCGTATCAGAAACCCTTGGCTAGCGAAGATGCAGGTGGTGTAGATTCAAATCTGTTCAAATCATGACCCCTGGGGGTAGGGTGGGGCCACTATGGGTGATCAAAGTTTCACATAGGAATGCATAGCCTAGGACAAATCTTTTGAAATCATTTTCTCAAGAAAAGCAAAGCCATAATTGGTCATACTTATATGGAAGCATCCTCTGGTAGTCTAGATTCAAATTTATTCAAATCATGATCCCCCAGGGTAGGGTTGGGCCACTATAAGCGGTCAAAGTTTTACAAGGAAACATGGAAAAAATCTTTAAAATCTTCTTCTCAAGAACAGCAAAGCCATGATTAGTCATATAAATAAAAAGTGTCTTCTGGTGAATAAATGTAGATTCAGATTTGTTCAAATCTTGACCCCAGGGGTTAGGAAGAGGGCAACAACAGGGGCTAAAAATTCTAAATAGGATTATATAGGAAATATCTTGAAAAAAATCATCTTCTAATGAACAGCAAAGCCATGATAGTTGAATTAATACAGAAGCATCCTAGTGTACTGTAGGTCGTGTAGATTCAAATTTGTTCAAATCGTACCCCCCACCCCCACCCCACCCCACCCCACCCCACCCCACCCCCTCACAGGTAGGGTGGGGTCACATTAGAAGATCCAAATTATTGGAAAAATCTTCTTTAGCCATCACTAGTCAAAGAAATATAGAAGCATCATCAGTAAGTGTAGGTTGATTCAAGTTTGTTCAAATCATGCCCCCTCCCTTACCTCCCCCTAGTGGGGGGGGGGGGGAGTAGGTTGGGACCACTTAATATATATTCAATACTGAACTGATTTCTGCTTTTTCCTAGTCAAAGTGCTTAAGTAAGCAATGTAGCCCATTAGCCTCTTGTTTAAAAACCTTCTCCCCACGAACCACTGTTCCTGAAAAGATGAAATATATATATATATATATGTGCTTCACTAAATATTGTAGATTCAAGTCTGTTCAAATCATGGTGCCTGGGGATAGGGTAGGGCCACAGTAGGCAATCAAAGTTTTTCATAGGACTATATAGTAGTTGCTGTAATTTATTAAAAAAAAATTCTAGAAAAACAATGCCATGATTTATAGTCATGTTAATAAGGAACCATCCTCAGGTAGTGTAGATTCAATTTTGTGTGATTTAAGTTTGTTCAAATCATGACCCCCAGTGGTAGGTTGGGGTTGCAATTGGCGATCAAAGTTTTACATAGGAATAAATTGGAAAAATCTGCTGATGAAGAACAGCAGGGCCATAGTGACTCAGATGAGCATTGTGGCCTATGGGCCTCTTGTTTTTCAATGGTTTTGGGCCAGACTTTCTCATATATACTAGCCCAATGGGACAGTGAAAGTTCTTATTTGACCCTTGAAGACAAATGAAAAAAGTATGAAATGAAATTATGAAAAACTTGGAACAGCAAACATTGAAAAAAATTGAGCATTTATATAAGAAAAATTGTCACTGTGTCACAGATGTTTTAGAGAATTAAAAAAAAATCCACCCAAATTACTGGTAGGATGGGAATTCAGAAATAAGCTTATAATTAGAAAATATTATTTTTGTATAACCTGATAGTAACAGTTGATGTGTAATTTAATGAGGTGGTATGAAGATAACCAGAAGTACCTTTAATGGAAGAGTTTGCATTGACTCTTAGCTGAAAATGGAAGAAAAACAATGTATCTATGCAATATGATGCTGGCATTCTTTGCTAAGAACAATGTTTTATTCTTTCAGGAATGCCTTTCTATCAAGCAGTTGCTATAATGAAACGCCAGGATAGACAAATCAAGGGTGTACAAGTATGGTACAGTCACCAGGTAATGTTTCATGTAGTTATTATACATTGTCTGGGAAATGAAGTGAAAAAGAAGTCAACATCTAAGTTACTGTAGAATGTTTCATGTAGTTATTATACATTGTCTGGGCAATGAAGTGAAAAAGAAGTCAACATCTAAGTTACCGTAACATCACTTTTTATTCACGAGAACTTTATTTTCGCGTTAGTACGCGAGACTGTGTTCTCGCAAAAATGTTGTTCTCAAGTATATTAGTATTCCTAAAGATTATATAGAGCAAAAACCATAATTCATGAAAATTTTGTCTCACTTATTAAGAGTAAATGACTATCCCATGAAAATAAGGCGTCACAAAAATTTACTGATCTACTGTAGTAAAAGTTTATACACATTTTGGGCACTGCTTGATGTGCATGTTAGTTGATTTGTCACTGGTATATACATATTTGATTTGCATTATAGACAAAATGAAAAAAAACCCCTGATTTTAGGAAGTTGATCTTATCAACAGGAAGTGGAACAAAATCTTAATAAAAACACATTTCAAGAATAAGAATGCTACAGTTTGTTGATAAGTTTTTAAGCATGGTTACATTTGGGTTGTCATTGGTTTCTTAAATGTTTGAACCTTGATGTTCAGGTTGGGGCAGAACAGGTGAAGGGCACCAAAACTGCGTTATGATGTAGAAAATAATTCTGACGATTTCATTTTCAATAAGGCTTACCATATATACTCGTCAATAAGTCAATTTTTTGGGAGTTAAACTTTGGTCCAAAACTCTTTATCCGACTTATACGCGAGTTATAAAAAGATTGTTATTTTAGTTGGACAATCCCACTAATTTAAGCTTAAAAATACAACCGACTTATAGGCGAGTATATACCGTAATTGGAAGTTAAACTAAAGGGGGTTATTTGTTGAATTAATCACAAGTTCAACAAAGTTTAAAGATGTTTGGTTATACATGTATTGTAGCTATCCATGTACAATTGTCTGTACATTATTTCTTCACACCTACTCATCAACACTTCTTCTCTTTAGAAATATTAAAAAAAAAAAAAAATTTGGCATATGATTGGTCATAGCAAATAGATATGCAATTAGATTGTTAGGTAGAAAGTTTAATAAGACCAAGGGATTTACTTTGATTTTATGCTGAAAGGGTTCCCTGGAGCCTAAAATGGTGTGCTTTATATTTTTTAGCAGGTTTATACTTGAATTTGCTGTAATATTTATGTTAATCAAACTTACATAGCTGATGACAGTAAGGAATTTTATTACTAGTCATGCTTTAGTGCTGCATGAGACACATATTTTCTGAATGAGTGATGAGGTAGATGTTTTGGAGCAGGTCCTATCCCAAGTAACTGTACTTGCAGTTGAGCAGATATGAGTATATATTGCATCTTGGGATTCATACTCATGATTTGTATCTGTAGGTTCAAGTTTTGGGAGAAGTGCTTCCACTGATCTATGTTGAACAAAGCTGTATGGATAATGCCAGAAGGATACATACTAAATGCTCTTTGGATGCTGCATGGACCTAAATTTACCACACAAATGATCAAGTTAGAGCTGTTGGAGCATGTCCATTTCCAAACGGATATGGATCTTTCCAATATTGACCAAATTTGCATAGGTGTTGCATCTGGGGATGCATAGCAGTATTCATGCTTTGGATATTGCATGTGACCTTTATTTTTCAGAGGAGTTATCTTGTTAATATTTTTGAAAGAGGTCCATGCCCAAGTGATTACATGTCCAACAAAGTGACCAAACTTGGAGAAATGTTGATGGGGGATATATACAACCAACCATGTTTTGAATGCTGTGTAACAGGAAAGGAGAAAATGTATGGCTGGACCGGGAATCGAACCCGGGACCCTGCATCACTAGTCAGGTGCTCTACCGACTGAGCTACCCAGGCCGATATCCACCGCCCAAACCATTACAGCTGCATAGATGTGATTCTAAGTTGAAACACTGTGAGCTATGTGTTTCTTAGAACCATTATGAATAATTCCCAGTATTTACCTTGAAAAGTTAAACTTACCCATTAATCACTTTTAAATAATGATCTTTCATTAATTCTCATCCAACAATTGTTGATATAATGCCATTATGGACATACTTTGATATTTCCTGTAACTTCAAAGTAGAAGAATACCAAATGATTTTTAGATACTGTCATATTGTTGCTTGGTTTGAATACTGGCTAGTGAACATTATTAAAAGCTAATGTGTATGGAGGAATCTAGGATGATGAAGAAAGAAATCATCATCTGTTATTGGTTTCCAGCAAAGTTGTAAAAGATTAGAGGGACAGTTGTAATTTTATTTCTGCTTGTTTTATATTACACAACTCATTTTAAATCATAATACAGAAATCTCGATAGTGGATACTACTAGTATGTCTTAGGAACACATCATTCTGTGATACTAAGTCCTTGGACATGGGACTATGTATCCAGTACTTTGTTCTTTAGTTTTAGACACATTTCTGTATACAGCGAGGTATTTGACAATGTGAAAATTATTAGTATAAAGAGTAAAAGATAATGTCCAAAGGGGTAACACTGTATACCAGATAGCAAAGTGACAGGACAATTTTGTAATTACACTGTATAGTTCTTTGGTATATTCAGAATTTTCGTTTGGTAGAGTTCACTTCATTTTGGCTTCTAGGGACAGTGTAAGAACACATTTGTAAAAAAAAAAATAAAAAATACAGAATGTCAGTGATTGAAATGAGGGTTGTTAAGAATTGATCCACAAAAGCAGGAGATATTGTCATGGTCAGCTCCCGATTCTTAAAAGCGGCCCATTTGTAAAGATCTAGACCACTGTGAAATTGAACAAGACAAATGAAGACTCTTGGCATTGATACATCGAGTATTGCCCATTGCAGGTCATTTAGAATGGTAATTTTGTGGGGGTTTTAGTATGCCTTTTTATCCTACAAATTGCCGTCAATTAAGTCCAAACAACATTTCCTATAAACCCCCAGACAAAAAAAATAACATGCTTTATTTCTGTCATATCTAGCATTTCTCTAACTTGTTAAAATGAAGATGAATTTTTTCTCTTGTAAATTGATTGGTGATATTGTCACAGGATCTAGTGTGGAATAGTGATAATTAAAGACTTCTGTTCAGAGCTTTGGTTCCTTATTTTCTGAGAATTCAGCAAAATTTATAAGTTGCATTGACATATATATAAGTTGAAAAATAAATTCATTTGGTGACTGTTGAGAACTAATCCCAATTGAGAAACATTGAATATTTCATTTCCAGTTATCCAGGGATGTGATTGGGAGGAGGGGGGTTCCAAGGGGAAGTGAGGGGAACAATTGATTCAGTTTAGTATAATTGTAAATTTTATATAATCATACTTTGAATTTCATATTTACCGTATAACTTTATATAGCGATTTTAAATAACGGAAGATACTTCCAGTAGTAATGGGATTGCCACCATTGCAAGAATTGTGGTTACAATTAAGTACTATACATCTTGTTTTTGTTTCAGTACCCTCTACAAATGGACCTTGTACTTAATCTCTCACATGATGGAATCCGCTTGATTTTTGACCCTGTATCACAAAGACTCAAGGTTTGTTCACTATTTAAAAGTATAATTTTAAAAAGATTGAATTTAAAGGTTTTTTTATTGCATGTAAGTGGTTGTACAGACTAAGTATTACAGATGTGAGTCAAATATCAAATTAGAGGGTTGCTTTGTAATGAGAACCCAGAGACAAAGGTTTGTGGACAGAATTCTGAAGGCAATTAAATGCATGTGGGTAAAGTAAGGATGAGACAGGCAAAAATTAATGAAAGCATCATCTTAGAAATCAGATCCCCAGCTAGGTTTGCCACAAAGGTCTGTGACCATTGTATAAGGTCTGCATTCTAAGCTAGACATCACAGAATTGACCAGCCACAATAGACTGCCTAGATTTTATTTCATCACTCCTCATTCATTGTACAGCTGGTCTCTGAGACTCAAGAAGGGATTAAAAACAAGCACATATGTTGGACCAAAATCATTGCTTAGAATTTAATAACTTTACGCAAAAGAAAAACCTGTAATAATTTTTCTCAAGATGGGCATTGTTGATGGTGATTTTGCCTTTTAATGAATTAACTGCAGAAAATGACAGGTTTATCGAGGTTTTTGTGTTCATTTTGTGATGCAGGGTAAAAAAGGGAGTGATTATTTGCTATTTCCATAGAAATGATAAAATGCTTTTTACAAAACTTAAACTGAAAATAAGTCAGTGGGGATCCCTCGATCTGAAAAGAATTATGGATAATTATTGGTCAAGTTGGAAACTTTATTATTATGTAGAACACAGCCTGGGTCAGAAAAGGCGGACATTTATGATAACTAAGTCCAGAATAATGGATGGACAAGATGCGCTGTGTGTTTGTTAAAGAAGGAAAAACACTTTAAACTTTTTGTTATGGTCAGAGGGGTTCAAATTTCAAAGGCTTGGTGATGAAAATCTGTCCCATTATTACTGTGTGATGTATGAAGTTGGTAATGATTTTCTGGACATAATAAAATACATAATGAGATTAGTGGAGGGACAGACTGGTCTGCTGATTATCAAACTTAGAGAGAAAATAGTAACACATTCTCATGTGAATTTAAGCAAAAATAGAAATTTGAAATATGAAACTTTTAAAAACTTTTTTGAAGAATGATAAAGCTATCTAATTTATTTTGGCCATTGGCAATAAATATGTAAGCATTTGAATGAAGTTTATTACAATATGACCTCTAAGGATACAGGAGGAATCAACCTAAAAAATATTATATATATGTCAAAATGTCTAACTCCTCACTTTAAACAAATTCAAAATTTTAAATACTGTTTAAGGACCTAGTATGTATTTGTTATCAAAATATCATCTGCTGATCTTGAAATCCATTTTTCGTACACAAAATAATTGGTAATATGCTCGTAACAAGTCGTGCATTAACTGTTTCATTAAAATTGAAAAACTCGTGTTTGATTGGTTTTATGCATCATTTTTAAAGAAGTTCCCTTTTCTAGTGTTGTTTGTACTCTGTTATGAACAAAAAAAATATTTTCTGTAAAATGAGGCACATTAGTAGAAGAGTTCTTAAGAGTAGTTGGTTTGGTTTAAGCTGGGGGCAATTTGTGAGAAGTTAGCTTTCTTTCATTATACTAACTAAATTTGCTTATTTTTTCCCAAACACATCTCTTAGATTGAAAGAACTAAGTTTAGATTCATACTTATTCTCAGCAGTTGTTAGAAATTTCAACAGATTGCAGAACACAATCTTGAACATTATCAAAAAAGACAATGTTGCTGGAAATGTGGTAGATATGCATCAAAATAGCGGGAAATGTGGTAAATATGCATGGAAATAGTGGGAAGTATGATGGATATGCATTGAAATAGCGGGAAATGTCACAGTGGTGGATTTGCATCGAAATAGTGGGAAGTATGGTGGAAATGCGTCAAGTAGCGGGAAGTGTAGCGGATATGCATCAAAGTAATGGGAAGTATGGTGGATATGCATCAAGTAGAGGGAAGTGTGGTGGATATATGTCGAAGTAGAGGAAAGTGTGGTGGATATGTATTGAAGTAGCGAGAATTGTGGCAGTTATGTGTCAAAGTAGCGGGAAGTGTGGCAGATATGCGCTGAAGTAGAGGGAAGTGTGGCGTATATGCATCTGAAGTAGTGGGAAGTGTGGCAGATATGTGTCAAAGTAGTGGGAAGTGTGGCAGATGTGTGTTGAAGTAGCGGGAAGTGTGGTGAATATGTGTTGAAGTAGCAGAAAGTGTGGTGGATATGTGTCAAAGTAGCGAGAAGTGTGGTAGATATGTGTCAAAGTAAAGGGAGGTGTGGCAGATATGTGTCGAAGTAGCGAGAAGTGTGGTGGATATCTGTCGAAGTAGCGAGAAGTGTGGTGGATATGTGTCAAAGTGAGGGAAGTGTGGTGGATATGTGTCAAAGTAGAGGGAAGTGTGGTGGATATGTGTTGAAGTAGCGGGAAGTATGGTGGATATATGTCGAAGTAGCGGGAAGTGTGGTGGATATGTGTCGAAGTAGAGGGAAGTGTGGTGGATATGTGTGGAAGTAGAGGGAAGTGTGGTGGATATGCGTTGAAGTAGCTGGAAGTGTGGTGGATATGTGTCAAAGTAGAGGGAAGTGTGGTGGATATGTGTCAAAGTAGAGGGAAGTGTGGTGGATATGTGTCAAAGTAGCGAGAAGTGTGGTAGATATGTGTCAAAGTAAAGGGAGGTGTGGCAGATATGTGTCGAAGTAGCGGGAAGTGTGGTGGATATCTGTCGAAGTAGCGAGAAGTGTGGTGGATATGTGTCAAAGTGAGGGAAGTGTGGTGGATATGTGTCAAAGTAGAGGGAAGTGTGGTGGATATGTGTTGAAGTAGCGGGAAGTATGGTGGATATATGTCGAAGTAGCGGGAAGTGTGGTGGATATGTGTCGAAGTAGCGGGAAGTGTGGTGGATATGTGTCGAAGTAGAGGGAAGTGTGGTGGATATGTGTCAAAGTAGAGGGAAGTGTGGTGGATATGTGTCAAAGTAGCGAGAAGTGTGGTAGATATGTGTCAAAGTAAAGGGAGGTGTGGCAGATATGTGTTGAAGTAGTGGGAAGTGTGGTGGATATCTGTCGAAGTAGCGAGAAGTGTGGTGGATATGTGTCAAAGTGAGGGAAGTGTGGTGGATATGTGTCAAAGTGAGGGAAGTGTGGTGGATATGTGTCAAAGTAGAGGGAAGTGTGGTGGATATGTGTCGGAAGTAGAGGGAAGTGTGGTGGATATGTGTTGGAAGTAGCGGGAAGTGTGGTGGATATGTGTCAGTGACCAAAAGATGAGTGACTGTCATCAGGACTTCATGGTTTGGGCATGTACCAGGGTATATGACTGCATACAAATAGTACACAGATTGTCCCAGTACATCAGAACCTGAACACTGCAAGGTATCAGAATCATGTACTCCAGCCACTAACCATTCCTCAGGCAAACCTGGAATGATCCTTATGCAGAATAATGCAATTACTCACATGGCAGTAACCACTCATCAGAAGATGCATTGATGCAGTATTCTTGCTCTCATAATCTCTGTGTAGATTCATTCTCATTCTCAGACACAAAATAGACAGAAGGATGAAGCAGCTTCCTTAGAAGTAGGATCTATTGAAGCTTGAATGAGATCTCCTGAACACCAAGAAAAACCTTTTACAAAGTTTTTTTTAAATAAATTTATACAACTTTTAATCATTATAATGAAACTTTGAATGAAAAATTAAAATCTATGCAGTTAAACTTATTCATTTTACTTATATAATCAAGGAGGAGATTTTCATAGATTTTCCCCAAATATTTCAATGTAAAATTTTGATTCTCTATTTTGGCCCCAACCTTATGCAAGGGGCCATGATTTGAACAATTTAGAATCTAAACTACATTAGGATGCTTACACTTAAGTATCAACTTTTGTGGCCCGCTGGTTCTTGAGAAGAAGATTTTTAAAGATTTTTCCTATATATCTCAATGTTTAACTTTGAAACCCTATCGTGGCCCCACCCTACCTCGGGGGGTCTTGATTTGAACAGTTTAGAATCTACTCTACCCCAGGAAGCTTCCACATTAGTTTCAGTTTTTCTAGCCCAGTGCTTCTTGAGAAGATTTTAAAAGATTTTTCCTATCCTGTTTGATTCAAAATTCCTCAATGATCTGTTTAAATGAAAAAAACAAGGGAGAAATTTAAAGAATATAAATTTGAAATCCCAAATGTTTTCAAACAACCTGCATTTTATGCCATCATAGGCAAAAACTGGAGATGTAGTCCCTGGAAAAGCAGCCAGTCAGAATTGTCATAGTTGTTTCGTAATGTTATAAACTTGAAAGAAAACTGCATGGGAGTGATGAAACACAGTTGATAATGGGAGAAAAAAGGGGATCACTCTTTGTAGACAGGAACAAAAATTGGCCAGATCAAGAGTTATCTTTTTTTTCATAATGGAAATCTTGTTTTTGCAGTTGTTGAGATACACACAATAGTAATGGCATAAGGTGACCCAAGGGAAAGGTCACTCAAGGCCACAAGGTCATTTAATTACTATCCTTTGTCTTCATTGTAAACTTTCATCTGTTTGACCACTGGTCATTCTAAAACAAACATTATTGATGAAGCACATTGCCACACTCATAAATTCTCCATTTTTTACTCCACACAAAGAACATATTTAATTGACCACTGGTCATTTCAAGTGCCTTGACTCAGGCCAGGGGGTCACTTTCAATAGAAGAGTGGACAGTGGTCAGTTATTTAGTAGAGTGGCTATTCTGTGTCCTCTGCCAAGTCAATAAAAATTCCAAGTGGTCACTTTAAAACAATGGTCAGGGAGGGAGGTTGTTCTTCATCTGATTGAAGGAAGCACTCTTGACCTCCAGCAGACTTTAATATTTTTTAAATGTGCTTTGTTTTATTCTTTTCCTGTGGAAAAATCACTCTATGCTCTCCTTCTGTTTTCCTTGTCTTGATATGCTGTCATTTCAGATGATTAAAGGAGACCAAATGTTTTATCATAAACCCTCTGTACACTACACA